AAATTTCTATATTCCCATCAAGTGTTCGCTGGTATGCAAGGGGATTATCACAATACGGATCGAATTACGCATAAGGCACATTAACGTCTTTACGAGACGTTTGGTCGTTACTTCTCAGCATGTGAGCAGATCACGATATTCTGCTTGGCTACCATACAGTAGACGATTAATATTCCGGGCGAGACTCAACTGGGCTCAATGCCACATTAATTCAGATCACAAGTAGCACCTCATCCATCTGTGTCAGTGGCAGCGAAAACTTTGGAGGATTTACAGCCACTTAGCCAGGTGTCCGCACACTTGTCACTAGCGCCATATAATAGTTGTCACGAGAAGTGATACCAACCTTCAGTTAGGGAAAAGGGCCTACCAAGAGCTAATTTTGCTCTCACAGCTTGAGGTGACTTCTTAGGTGGCAGAGTTGCGCAATTGGCGGTGTCTCTGTTGTCGGATCAGCTCTTATGCTGTGGAGACATTCTTAAAAGGGTCAGGTGGAACTATAACACTCAGAGTACATTAGTGACTGGATCTTAAAAAGGCATAGCCGAAAATCAATCTTATGAGAGGGAGCAGTTTACTGCTTGTATAGTAGTTTTTTCTTTTTCGTGGAACGATTTAGTCAGACTCAAATAACCCACTTTGGAAGCACAATTGTCCGCTAGATGTAGAAGCAAGTATTGGAATATTTGTATGAGTTGCTTTAGGAAGCATCAAACTCTTATGGGGTTTTTGGAAACTCGAGCCTTCAAAAAGTTCAGACCAACAATGAGAACGCGTGGGAATATCTCCACATAGAGAAACTTCTTCTATTTCCGTCTAATCCGACGTCTGACACCTCGTGGTACTTGACATCGTATTTGTTTTTCCATAGGATGTATCCTGTTGTCTAGTGCACATAAAATCAGCTGGCGATTTGGTTTGATGTGCTTTGGGACTGCGTCCTCGTCTCCTCGATTGAGTGCAAAAACTCGTCCACATTTGCGGATTCGCCATAAACTACGAATAGAATCGAGTTGTACTGCACGAATTTGGCCAAGACGAAACGAGAGTAACAGATTTGAAATGTAATCGCTTCGAAACAATCCGATCAGTGCCTGGATAGGATAAAAGCGGCCGCTTGGAGTAACCAACGCTACGACCTTTGCCGGCTGCCGAAAACATGAGTTTGTTGGCTGAGCACACAAGGCGCGGTATGGGAAAGGTTGCATGAAAATGAGATCAGTGGGAGAGGCATCCATGTGGAGTAAATAGGGATTATATGAGGAATGTTTGCGTTATAAAGACCTCCTTTTGCGTTGGTAGCTCATCGATAGCTTACAAGGGAAAAGAAGGATCTTCTAGAGTGATCTTAATGTGAACAATACCTTACATTATGGACAATGTAATCACCCACATGTGATAAATCTTTAAAAACATCAGCAATTTTTTAAGAATATTTTAATCAGAATATAATTTGTCTGAATGGACCGTATATAACTTTTAGGGCCCCCCATTGTATTCATAAGAAGTTGTTAAATTATACTTACTAATGACCTAATAGGTGAAAAAGTTTAACGTTGATTTTCATAAATTTAATTAATTTTTGTTTTTCAGAAGAATGCAATAGAGCCTTAGGACTGACAAATGGTAAGATTCGAGACGACCAGCTCAGTGCATCATCCTCTTTTG